TCCACCATACATTTCCATTGTCTCGGCTGTTAGACTCTGCTGTCCCATCCCCCCCACCCTCCAAACCATGCAGCTTCTCTCCGCTCCACAAATCTCACTTGAAAACACCTTAGGGACCTTGTCCTGACCTCTGGTTTCTCAGTGTGCTCTGGTTGGAATCCACTTCCAGGTGGCGATACACAAAGGTGCTCCTTTTCCACATCCTAAAGGAGTCTCCTGCCCTTCAATGTTCAAGAGCCAGGCTAAGACCCCTCCCCCATCCCACCCTAAGTACTCCTCCAAAACCATCCCAGCAACCCTTCCATCCCCACCAGTGCCCTGTGCCCATACGTAAGAGAATAAAGTGTTGAAGGGCAAAGAAATCTGTTTCTAGCTTCTGAATCATACGTGAGAGACAGCTGGAGAAAAAGAAGGGGGAGGGGGAGAATTAGGAAATCTACATCAGTGGATGTCAGAGCATTTGATGCCTCATAAGACATTAACACATTTCATTTCCAGCCTTTCTACCCACAGCAGGTGTCACTTTCTGATCTTTTCTGCCTTTAATTCCTAGGGATATCGGCATAAAAAGGTGGGTATTTATCTCCTCATATCACCTGCTGTTTACTCCCCACCTGAAGTCAAATAACCCCATTTGTAACATCATGCTCACTTCCCCAGCAGCCAGTTGGGATTTCACAGAGAGGACCGCGATTGCTGCAGTTGACGAATGAGCCACAAAAGCCTATCCAACTCCTTAGCAAGCAAAGATCTGGTTTTCATTCAACACCCCAAGGCATAAGAACCACGGAAAGAAAAATGCAGGAAATAGTGCATAGGCAGAGCTTTCCAGGGATTACGCAATGCCCTTTACAAGTCAAAGTGAGACTGTATCAGGGCTGTCCAGTGCTTAGCAGGACAGGGACCATATTGCTCCTAGGTTGAGGCACAAGGCTTACAACTACTGAGACCTGTATTCCCCGTGGCTTGAGGATAGCCCTCTAAAATCTCCTCCTCAGTTCTTCATAGCCAGATCCCTCCAGTGTCCAAAATGCTGCCAGACAGCCACTATTCGTATTTTTAATGGTTTGCAATACAGTCATGCCCGAAGAGACCTATGGAGGTTGGAGCCCCATTGTGCTATGCACTGTGCACACCCCCATAGTGCAGGTCCCTCCCTACCCTAGCAACTGACAATATTCTAAACAGACAGGGCAGGGACAGCTTGGATGGGAGGGAGAACAGTCCCAGAGAAGTGGCAGATAGATTAGAACATCCAGCTCTGATTTCTGGTCTGCATCTTATTACTCCACTCATCGGGTTTTACAAGAAACTTGGCCGGCTTCCCTTTCTGTTGAGAAAAGCACACAAGGCAGTGCAGGAAAAAGTTACTGATGAGAAAGCTTTTCTCACTGACTCATCACTGGGCCCGCGTGTTGAAGGGGAAGGCCCTGTTCTGCCCTCGTTTGCACAGGTGCAGGACTTAGGGACCACAGCAGAACTGGGCACTACAGCTTCCCAGTGACGGGTGGGCAGTTCTCAGGACTCCTTTCACAACAGCTTCTTCCTTTCAAAGTGCCTTTTCTCTCCTGATGTTGAAGGCCCTATATACCTTGCCAGCATCAGTCCTTCCAGCCGGGAAAAGGGGACAGCAATGCAACCCCCTATGACTCAGGTGTCAAGCACTGTACCTGCACTTTAAACAGAGACACCAGACAAAGTTTGGAAGGGGGAAACTGAGGCATGGGGCAGTGAAATGACTTGCCCAAGGTTGAACACTAGCCTCATGGTTGAACCATTGGCCTGAATCAACAGCTTCTGAGTGCCAGTTCAGTGCCCTATCCACCAGCCTCTGATCCTCCCCTAACTTCCTCACCTGCCTGTCACACTCTTCTCTGGGCCCCTCCACTTGTCTTATTGATAGAAACAAGCCATTTGCACTAGCATTCAAGACTCAGCATCCACTCTGTCCTGACTTGTATTTCTGCCTTAGCCTCTGCTACGTCCCTCCCCTTGGTCAGCTAACTGCACTGTCAGGCCCCCTATATCCCTCCTATCCTGTTTTCTTCTGTCCTGCCCAGTCACGTCTCACTGTGCCGTATCTCTAGGCATTAAATAACTAAAAGAACTGAGACCTTTATTTTTATGAGTCACTGGGAGGCCTTATTACTAAAACCTTTAGCTTCTCTTATCCTATCCCTGCCTCCTGTTGTTACTCTGACTTGCTGCTGCTCAGCTAGAATAACACTGGAAGTTCTTTGGGGCAGAACCCAAGCGTTCTTCTTGTGTGCGACAGTTATCACACCAATGGATGCTGCCCAGGGAGTAAATCTGGAACTAAAGTGGGCTTGGCCTAGGCCCTGGGGCAATGAGGTGGGGGAGGAAGGGGCAGGGAGAGCCAGGTTTCGCCACTGAAAGATGGCTCCATATGCTTGTTGGTTTGAGGGAGCAAAGGGTTCTGGCAATATTGGCAAATGGGGGGCACCTACTTTCTGGGATCCTCTCACCTATGCCAACTTTAAAATCCTTCCCAGATGTCAAGCAGCCATTGAGTTCTACTGCAGTGCCCCCACCTGTCTCCTAAGAGTGCAGCTCGTGGGAACTCAGCTGAATCAGAATGAGACCTCAGTGCAGAGGTGTCTAGTGCAAATAGTTTACATTCTTCCATGAGAAGTCTGCATTACTGGAGTCTGCAGTAATCCCTCCCTCCCCTGAAAGGACTACATTCACTGCCCACACAGCTGTCCTCTAGTGCATGGGAGCATGGGCAGGGGAAGGCAGGCTTCACATGTAGAGGCCTGCTGCTGGTTAGCCAAAATGGCTTGGTTTTCAAGTCACTGAGCCAAACATGTATCTTGCACATGCCTCCAAGTTGGCCACAGTGGGAAAAGCCACACATTCAAAGCAGCACATTTGTATTAGAAATGCATGGAAGTGTAATTCAAAACCAGCTTCAAACTCTGAGCTGTCCCTTCTGTTGCTCCGGTGGGCACATGGATTTCCAGGCCAACTCCTGCCAGTTAGGCCCCGAACTCCCCTGCGGAATCGAAAACAGGTTAAACTGATACAACAGCAACAGCACAAGAGAAAACAGGATTGCACATTCCCAGCTTCTTAAAGAATCCCTGGCAAGATTGGTGGATCCCTAAAGCTCATCTCTTGCCCTTTCACAGTAACCCATGCATCTTCTGCTCCCCCTCCCTCCCACCCAGCAACATTCAAGGTGGTTTTCCCCTTACTGCTCGATAACAGAATCAGTCACAGCATTCCAGCACACACTCTCATCTCAGCTATGTGCCACGCAGGGATTGTATGGTACTAAGGAAAGGGATCCAATTCAGGCTTCCCAGAGGTCTTATATGAAAAAGCAGTAATATTTTTGGAGTTATTTTTTTAACCCAGCCACCCCCTAGTGACCATGATTTCATCTGTCCTGCTGTACTTTGGGGGGCCATTATAACTGGTGCAATGAAGAGCCTTGGTAGGATGGCAGCAGCTTCAGTTAGTTTGTTGGCCTGCGGTTGTTTTGCATATTTGCCTAAGGAAGGGCAGAGGGTGGCTTAAAAGAATAGCCCTCAGAAATGGCCCCAGTGAAACACAGATGTTATTCTGGGTTCTACAGTCTTGCCTGCCTCCTCGTCTTGTTTCATTGTAAGAAATTAATGTTGGGAAGGCAGCTGCATTTATGCATCAAAGCACAGCACAGCTGATGTGTAGAATGGCATCGATGAGGGCTCATAAGCCCCATGGGTATGGCAACATTAGAAAACGGTCTTCCTTCACCCTGCAGTACCACTGGCTCAGCACAAGGAGGCTGTAACTTTTCAGAGGGAAAGGAGGACAGTCTCTCCTCAAGCTCTAGTAGTGATTTACAACTAGCCACTACTAGAGAGAGAGACACAACACCCATCCCGCTCCAGAGGCTGATGGAGTGGATTCCAGACAGAGCACAGAAATGTGTTATGTAATTCTCCAACATAACACACTTTGCAATGTCTTATCCAAAGATCTGATAACATTTTATAGATATTAATTTTCACGGTAATTCTGTGAGACTGGTAAATATTATTCCCATTTCACAATTGGGGGGAAACTGAGGCACACAGAGAAAGTGACTTGCTCAAGTTCCCTTAAAGTGGAATAACTAGGAGTAGAACTCTGGAATCCTGCTAGCACTAATCCCACTAAGCCACACTGCTTCTCGCTGGACTCGCTGAAGGAGATTCCTAACCTAAGTTTAAAAGCTTGCTACATGACTGCCCTCACCCTAAGCAATCCTCTTTAAACCCACTTCTTTGGTATGGTAGCAGCAGTTGTTTTCTTTTAAGATTAACAGTAACATATAAAATCTGCCTAGGTCTCTGTTTCTACAAACACGTATGTGCTTAAAATGTCAAGACTGAGTATCTTCCAGAAAACAGGTATGCTAGCTCAGCTGGAAGTTATAGGCTTATCCAGGAACTACCGGGTGAAATTCTATGGGCTGCATGATGCCCTTGACTATATGATCATACATATCTCGTCTTGCCTTAAAATCTGTGATCTCTGAGCACAAGTAGTCCCTTGGGGGAGACAGAGGGGATGATCCAGCAGTTAGGGTGGTCATATAGGATTTATGAGTTCTGAGTCAATACAGTGCTCCATCACACACTTCCTGTGCAAATTGGGAAAGTCACTTAGTCTCTCTGTGCCTCAGTTTCTCATCTGTACAATGGGGATAATAGCCTTGCCTTAGTGCTAGGAAGATATATACATTAAACATTGTGAGGTGATCCGATATGTTGATATGGGGGTGAAGGGTTGCAGGAGGGAAAAGGTTAGGACCTCAGTGAGATGAAAACAGTCCACTATGGAAGTCAATAGAATGACTTGATGTCACTGCAATTCTTTGTGGGCTTTAAATTAAGTATTTGCATTAGCATTTGCATCATATGGGCCTGTATTAGAGACATTACACTCTGATATTTACTCGAAGCCAAACCTACCTCAGCATTCCTTCCCCTTTTCCCACACAATGCAACAAAAGTGAAGTTACTCTGTTTTTTTTCCACTCTTAATTTTATTATAAAAATCAACATTTCATTTGTTACAACTCAAGTTTATAGTAATAACTGAAAAGGGATTTTTGTACAAGGTTTATATACAGCTTATAAGTAAAGCACTTTATTTTACACAAAAATAGTTAGTGAATGAGTGGATACGGGCTGACCAAATGTTGGCCGTTATAATATAAATACAACCTTGCAAAGCACCATCGTACCAAAGTCGATGAACAAGAGACACCAGCTGGCTTTAAGACAATGACAAACAGTGATTAAAGCTTACAAAAAAGGATAAAAACAAATAAAATTTTAAAAAAGATTAAAAATCTGAAAGCAGCACCAGATCCTTCACTTGCAAACAAGGCTAGTTCAGCTTAAGCCTGGTGGTATCCTCTTTACAAAATATTCTTTCATTTTCTCTTATTGACTCTTAACTGTTTAAGTCTGCAGCTGAGTAAGGGCAGGTCTACACTTAACCGGGAGTAAGGACTCGCTAAATTGATCGCTGATGGGCATACTCCACTGGAACAAGACGTTTAAGGAGAGTCAACAGGAGTTTCTGCTATCAACCCCCACAGCAGAGACTCTGTGGCAATGCGATCTGAGATATGTCTACTCTAGCTAGGCTATTTACATAGCTGGAGTTGCATACCTTGGGTTGACACTGCCCCCTAGTGTAGACCTGCCCTTGCTGAGTCTCAGAAGGATGCAGGACAGCTCTTCAACAATGCAACCATGCCAGTGCACTTTAGCAAGTTAACTTCCAGAGGGAATCTAGTTTGCCAATTTGCCCCACATCACTTTGGAGCTAGATTTCCCAGTTCCAATTAATTTTGCATTAGCAACATACCGAACCCATGAAGGTCTTCTACTCTTAAATTACTGAAGAGATTTGCCCTACAGTCTACAATTTCCAATAGTATTTTGAACCATTACTGATTAAAAAAAAGTTGGAACATAGTGTGCTTGCCCTGTACTTACTAGCTGCAGGAACTATTCCCAATTAGTCTGCTTGATGCATAGTCAAAATGGTGAATATATTGAGGCTTACATTTCAAACAACATCCCCCCCATACCTCCTCCAGCAAGAAATTTCCAGAATTAGAAAAGCTGCTTTGGATAATAATTTAAAAATTATGTTTGTATTAAATAATCAGTGACATATTTACTGATTCTTTCTGGTAGAAGCAAGAGGTAATCGGCTATTTTTGTATGGTGTGTGCAGAAAATAGAGATTTTACCCATAACAACATCATGTGATATTCACACGAAGGGCAAAATATGACACAGAAAATAACTGATCAGCTTTTAAGAATGATTTTTTTTCAACTGAACAAATGGATCCAAGAATTTCAGTTTTAGCATTTCCTTCTAGAATGGGAAAACTTTAAATTCATTCCATTAATGTCTGCTAACTTGGTAAGACCAGAAATATTCATGATAGTTGCCTTTCAATAAAATTTGGATAGAATGGATACATGCAAAGAAGGGAGGAAAAAAAGCCATGAAGCAGAACTCAGTTTGGGTGTGTAATTCATGCAATGGAGCACTGATAGAAAGCATTCATCATAAAGGGAGGGGTAATGTACAACTTGGAGACCAGATGATCACCAAAATTCAACAATGCCAGAAATTCCATTCCCCTTCATGGGCCAGCAATGGAGCATAATATCTGCAGGCACCAAGCAGCTTAAAGGATCTTTCATTTATCAGTAAGCTAGATCTGACACAAACTGATTTCCATGTAGCTGTAAATTGCACAAAAATATCTTATTAATTTGCATTAATTATCAACCTAATGATAATATATCACATAATGGAATTTTTCTTTTTTATTGTCAAGTGTGACAGAGCGTTAGTTTCTTTTGGATATAGTTGTAAATGTTCTGTAGTATGTTTTATAAATGTAATTAAGCCTAGGTAAAATGAGACAATACTACAAGCTGCCATTACCTCCGTGCAGAGAGGCAGAGTGAGTCTTCTGGATTAATTATTATTGTTGGGAATGGGAGAACAGAAAATTATTGCCTCTGTCAATCGGGCATCTTCATATTAGCAAAGCTCTGTGTGTACATACACGCACAGAGTTATGTTTGAGATTTAGAACACAGGATATTGTAAGTTACAGTTTCCACAGCAAATCTAATCCACCGGTATAAACTGATTCAATGCAAATTCTATATTGCCAAATTTCATGTAATAACCTAATGTGTTTGTAGGCAGGCAGCTTGGTTGAATTTTGGATTCATGGAAACCAGAATTAAGATTTTTCTATTGTTTCCTAATGATAGCATTCTATCAATGCATCAAGGTAGACCTCTGCATATTATATCTCCTAGCTTAAATCTCCCATGCATGGTTCCTTTTAATGTGCAAAAGGATACTCCAGGTATACATTTGGAGACCAACACTGTGTTTGAATCGCTATTGCCAGAGCCAGTCTAAGGGGTGGGTGAGCCAGGTGGTCGCCTGGGGCCACCATATTCAAGGGGCTGCCAACAGAACCGGTCTTAGGGGCGGGCCACAACTGCATTTTGGCCTGACCTCCCAAATCCTCCCCCCCCAGGTTTCCCCGGTTACCCGACCCTTTTTTTTTTGGCTTGACAAATTTTCCCTGGAGGTTTTTTTTTTTTTTTTAAAACCATCTGACAACCCAATGGGCAAGCCAAGTGATCGCCTAAGGCCGCCAATTGGTTAGGACCGGCCCTGACTATTGCAATTCAAATATGCACAGCTACAGATGTAAATGTAGCGACTAGTACGTATACCTGGGGAAAATTATACCCATGTTTTCTGAAACATGTTCTGTGTTTTTTAAAAAGCTGTACCTCTCTCCACTCCCAGTTCATTATTACTGTATTTCCATGTGCAGATATTCAGCTATGAACATTTTGAAGCATAGGCAGGATAAATTACACATGGTGCACTTAAGGAAAATGCTTCACTGTTTATGGTTCTGATTCAGGAAGGTACTTAAGAGTGCCTAATTTTAAGTGTGCATGTCAATAGCACCACTTACATTCATGCCCAACTTTCAGCATGTAAGTATCTTGCTGACTTGAGGCCAATATGCAGTGGAATTAAAACTTCATTTCTCAGTCAATTTCAAAGTAGCAAAGCACATGCTCCCTTATGTGGGATAGAGATAGCACAAGCTGTGGCTGGTTGGATGGGAAAGGAAAAGTGAATGTTTCGTCTCTATGTCAAATCAATTGGTTTATCCACCAGGAATGTTCCCTTACAAGGATGCCAGTTGTAGTGATGTACCTGTAATACGGAAATCTACATAGTGGGAACTTCCAGCCTCCCCAATTTAAGATTTCCATTTTAGATTTATGTAAAATATCTGTGAAAATGTAGCTCTCAACTTTCTCACCAAATTCTTTGGTAAATCAGAACAGAAAAAGCACTAACCTCTCCAACTGCTCTTCATCATCTGACAGTCTCCCTGCCCCCTTCATTAAAATAGAAGCAGCAGCAGCTTAAGTATGTGCTGCACACAGTGAGATATACACTTCAAATATATTTGGTGAAATTCTGCATACATTTATGTTCTCCACACATGCACCCCCCATCACTGACTTCAATGGAGTTGTATCTGGATGTGAGTACAAAATTTGGTCTTTCTGACCAAAGACAGCAAGCTAATTCTTCTAAAACAAACCCCTCCAGTAGTCAAGTTTAACAAGCATATCTTATTTGTAGAAAATCCTTGTAAAATATCAAGGAGGGAAACAAGGATACCACAACTTAAGTTGAACCACCTCATGGTTTTTCAAAGAAACAAAAATTGGCACACTGAAGCATTTTGCAAGTAGAGACCATTGACATCGCAGTACACTGAGATACAACAATGCAATATTCTTCTGAGTTCATTAGTGCAAGTTTCCACATGTGAACCCCACACAGAATGCTGCACATTTAACAATGTAAACAAACAACGTAGAAGTCTCAATTCTGATCAGCACCCCAGCCTCTACTCACCCTCTCCCATGCCTCATGTAAATGGACTGAATTTTTATAGCTCATCATCAGACCTTCAACATCCATCCTTTTAGAGACCACAAACAAGTTTCTTCACCAACAGGAATAGCAAAAGGAATAGCTACCAAACTTCCTAAGTACCTAGAATAAAGCTCAAGGTATTAGCTGGATGAATGTTTCCGCAAAAGTTAGTGCGCTTGGCCCAATGGTCAATTCCAATATGTCCGAGGACAATCCAGAATTTTTTAAAAATTACTTTGATTGAAAGCTTCCGTGGGCATCTTAAATTCTTAGAAGGGTAAAGCGAGAATTCCAAAACATGAGAGGCTCCGACAGTCAAGCTGAAATGTAGCATGGGCAATGATTGTTCAAAGCTTCCTAAAAAGCATTGAAAGGATTTAAAACTGGAATGTTTTCAGCCTGCATGTCCCAGTAGAAACTGACTGTAACAGAGCACCTGGCACTCATGAAGAGTGGTTACAGCACTGCTGAGTCCCAGTACTCAGGAGCCCCTCAGTATCCTTTGTGATGTGAAGTAAAAGGCCTGATCTTTGGAGGTGCTCTTGCAACTCCCATTAAAAGGTCAATGAAAACAGTAAACACGTAAAACTTCCCAAGATCAGATCCACTAGTTCCAGCTGTTTAACTTAAACACTGCACTAGGGTCAGGTAGAGTTAAGATGATCATATGTTACCCTTCAGTTCTTGCAAACCAAGCGTTAAAAAGAACTCATACTATCCCTTTCTAATGGCCATGGGAGCTAAATAAGGAGATACAAAAATATAGGGTGAGAATATAAAATGATTTGGTTAAGAATATTTTAAAATTTGACATTCACAGTGGTTAATACTAAGGTATTAAAAGCATGCCACGCAAAAGAGGAGGTATGTAGAAATCATACTGAAAAGACCAGCTTACCTTACATGAACACAGCAAGAACAGTTAATACAGTGGGGGAAACATTTTTAATCATCAAAATTCAATTTTTATAGATTGTGTCTGGTCTCCCCAGTGACAATGTTTAAATGCTTCCTTACTAGGAAGTGTGTGTGTGTGTGTGTGTGTGTGTGTTTATATATATAGATATATATATAGATATATATACACATGATTTGTATATTGTGATATTAATTATACACTGAAAGTATTGCAATGATACAGGATTCATTTACAGTAAATCTAGCAATTTATAGTTAAATTTATAGTTTAGAAATATGTTGTCTATATTATATGTGCTATAAAAATATTTGACATTCTGTGGGCAATAAATCAAAACAGTTTTTAAGGAACTAAAATGATTCAGGTATATGCATATTACCCATGTCGAATACATGAGAATTGGGCTGACCTGATACAAAATGTAATTCTATGGTATCAGCAGAATGAAGAAACCCGATACTTAACATTGGACTGCAACACAAGTCTAATAAAATATAGAGGATGAATTTTCATTAGCTCAATTCTAGCAGTACTTTAAACAAGGAAATCTGATTTAACAAAATGGCTCTGGGGAGAAAGAAGTTGCAAGAAGGAGAGGGAGGTAAAATAAAAGAGTACCCAACAAAATTACTGAACTTCTAGCAATGGAGAATGTTTTAAAATGGGGAATGATGCAAATGCAGGCAAAAAAACAATGTGGATGCATTTTAATTTTTAAAAAAGTGTGTGACAATATATCTAATATTTCATTATATTTGTACACACACATAATAAAATACTGTAACATATATATTCACTGCTATGATTGCTGTATTCCTGTAGAAAACAAAGCCCTTTGTGTATGGTAAGTATCTGTCTTGTGCTTTCTTCAAGTTTATCTTTCAATGCTGGCCCTCCATAGTTAATGTAGAGACTATTTGGCTACTTCCAAGTATCTATGGTATGCTGCTCTGAGACTGACTTCTCTCATTTTTAAAACATTTTTGGTATTGACAAACCCCATACTTTGCCTCACTGGACAGTGATGCGTCCTGGTCCTTCTATTTTCTCATGTGCTCGGTCACTTCACTGGATTAAGGCATTTTTTTTGTTTCATTTGCAAAAATAAAAATTTTGTACAAATTTCTATTCTTTTATACAAAAATTTCTTCTTATGGCACAAGCAGCAGATGCTATTTAAGAAAATATATAAATATCCTTTTTTTCTTCTGTACAAATATCTCCAGTATTCCACACCCCCATTTAATAACTTTTAACTGTACACTGTTCTGCCTCATCCCTCTCCAATAGCTCCCTCCCCCCTCCCTGATACGGACAATTTATATTTACACTTTTGTTTTGGAGGCAGTTAAGGAAGGGGAGGGGGCTCCCCTCATGAGGAGTCCGTGCAGGGGGATGGTGGTGGCGGATAGAGGTGATGAGAATAGCTCCGTTCTGTGTACGGGGAGGGCGGACAGCTTTCGTAGTTCTCCTCTGCCGAGAGGTACTGGCTTCGTGGCGTCGGCGGAGGGGGCACAGGCTCAGAATCATAGTTCAAATCACTGGTGTAGCCCTTAGCCACTGCTGTCATGACCCGCCGGCTGGGGGCATAGTCACTGTCACAAACGTCCGTGCTGCAGGGTGTGGTGGGAGGGGCAAAATGCCGGTAGCTGTATGGTCTGTAGCTACAAAAGGAAATTCAAAGGAAAGATGTCAGAACTTAAAGAGAAAGCGTAAGCCAAACACTCAGGTAACAGGACGCAGACCAGCTGTATTGCCTGAAAGGAACAACAATTAGTAGAACTGAGATTTTTCAGAGTGCTTGTACTTCCAGAATGAGGCTTCTTAACAAACCAAACCAAGCCAAAAGACCCTGTCTGAAGAGAACAATCCCAAAAGATTTCTGAGTTTTCGCAAATAGAAAAATCAGAGACTAATTCATTTCATGTCAAAATAAACAGGTTTTTTTGTTTCCATTTTTAAATAAAAGCAAAGGAAATGGAAAGCTAAATCAATAAGGCGACTTATGTGCCTTTCACAAATCCAAGGAGGAAGGGATGGTGATGGAGGTCCAGGTGGTTATACCTCAGGTCTGCACAAATCGGAAAGTGGCGAGGGCCATATTACTCCAAAGAAAACAGCTGTGGGCTGTAAGTAGGGATGCTCTCCCAAAAAATACCGAACATGCGGGCTAAAAATTTTTGTCGAGAAAACAAACAAACAAACAAAAAGTGTCTCTCCACCTGGCCCCCTGGCATTTGTCTCTCCTGCCCCTTTGTGCCTTCCCCTTTCTCCTGACCTGCCCCCCTACCCCCAGCATAAGCCCCTTCCCCTCTGCTACCTGGCTTCTGCCTTCCAGTTTGCGGGGCTGGCAGGGCTTTTTTGAATCCGGCGGTCGCCAGCCGTGACGTCACAAAACCACGTCACGCCAGCGTACTTGTTGCTGCCAGCATC